ATGTTTAATATTTATACAAAACGGAAAGTAGTGCACGATAATCAATATTATTTTGTGATGAAACAAGACAGCCAATTGGTGGGCCCAATGTAGATGGGACACGTGGCTATGTGAACTAGGACGACGCATGTTTTGTTCATCTCTACAACAAACGTTCCCAGTGGCGCACGTGCTCTGTTCAAAAATGATTCCGCTTCATTGCTCTGGTCTGGAGTACACTTCCATACTAGTTCACAGGGGCCAATACGCTAATAACAACATACCAGTTGACCGTATCTAAGCTCCTTCCGGTCTTCCCTCTGGCTAGTAGTCGAAGCTGGGAGCCGTGCGCACCAATCGCGCACCTCATTTGCCTCACGTGACTGAAGAAGCTCGGTCATGTTCGAGGGAACCGAGGTAATCGTCGTTTCCGAAGCGCGGAACTGAGGCAATTTGTTCCTCGTAGCTTCAGCTTCCAATCAAAAGCGAGAATAAAATGGAGCATAGCAAATAAGCAGCGTCTGCAACACTTTCTTAGTGCTACGATTGTCCGAAGCGGTGGGGCCGCCGCCGTCCTTGTCGGCGATGCGTGTTAGCTTTTTAAACTACGGGGAAAGTAGCGAGGCGACTGCTCTGGGCCACGATAGGCACGTAAGTCAATTTTCTAATTCCATCGAGTGACAAGCGGTGCTGCTAGTGTTCGGGAAAATCCGCGCGAACGTCATTTATAAGGATGGGACGGTTCAAATACGGTGCTGCTTTGCTTTGCTGTTTGCCTTGTTGGCAGCCTTCTTGGCAACGTATTTACGGCACAGATTGAATTGGGGGGGAAATCATTCAGAATTAGCCATAATCCGTTATGAATCCTTTTATACAGGTCGCGTCAAACTGCTTCACTGATTTGACCCCGCTACATTCCGCTAAGTCTTCTCAAGATATGCTTTATTTGTGGTTCAGAAAAAAGTAAACTGGAGCTTCACGCTACCGTCGAAACTTTATGATGGGGAATATTTACGAGCTGTCTAATTTTTGTTTATTGTATCCTACTGAACACTTGACGATTTTATCGTATTTTGGTGTTTAAAATATTTTGAAGTTCGAAAGGTAGGTTAAGCGTGAAACACGTGTAAACAAAAACTGCGTCGCGTCGCGCCACCGAGCGGCATAACCATAGCAACCGTTGCGTGCGCTGTGACCTGGAGAGGCGACATTCGGCCAAAGTCATAGCGTCCCCGGTCGTTGCTATGGTAACGCCGCTCGGCTGCGCAACGCGACATAATTTTTGCTCACTTGTGTTGCACATTTTAGTTTAGTGCCGCTAAGGGCGCTTTCCCCACGACACTGGTGCGCAGCGGGGAAGCGACATCCACAGAGCGGCCAATCCCGCAGCCCGCGCTACTCCGGGAAAGCGTCTCACAAATGTCTGCAATAAAGACAAATGCACAGGCGTGTGAGCCTAGCTGAGTAGAATGCTTTTGTTTCTACGAAAACTCGTGCATAGGAGGCACCTTCGAAAGGACCCGCGCTTGTGCCCATGCCTTTGTCTGCGCGGGAGATGTTGTCTTTGGGCGTGTAATTCGTGTTTTTGCTGCGTGTTCTATTTTTTTTTACCCCCAAAGGTAAATAGTTCTTTAAAACGACTGCAACTAACTACGTCACTGATATAGGTGGGGCTTCTAAATTCGAAAATTTGATATCCTCATGGCCAGGGTCAAATTTCACTAAAAAACAAAAAAAAAACGGGTTTTTTTTTTTTTTTTTTTTTTTTTTTTTTTTTTTTAGGGTTAACGAGAAGCCAGAAAGGAGGAAACTCTGCCACAATTTTATCGTTCCCTTCAGGAAAGAGCGATACCCTCCTCCTCTCTGCGAAGAGTGGGTCAGATACCCGCTCGTCTGGGGAACGGATGAGACATGAGTGCGAGAGGGAATAGAAGGAAGGAAATTGGGAACCTGTTTTGTTTTTCCCTGCAGAAGACAATTTTGTACTCAAGCCTTTAGGGGGCGACTTTTTATGAAACAAAAACGACATACGTATGCTTTTTTTAGGAAGAAATGTGTAATTTGGGGTGAAATGGCAATTATTTTTCGTCAGCAAAATATATCTGGGCAAGACTTCACATACATCCTCACGTCAAATGTTTCTGCAGGCCCTCCTTTGCCTCCCAAAGCCTGACCCATAAATCCGCCCCTGCACACCCATGTAGTGTCAGACGTATTACGACGCAGTGCGGCCGTCAACAATTCCGACACAGAAAACGTGGTCCGTTCCGTGTTTCTATCGAATCGGCTACTGCGGACACGCACATTGAGCTTCCTGCTGAAGGAATTTCCCCGTTATTCCTTCGCGCTTCGTTCCAATGTCGCGTGTTCTTTTCCTTGTTGATCTCTCTGCACTTCTTCTCCGTGAGTGGCACGTGTGCGTCGTAAGCTGTTGTTCGCGGTGTCGCGTTTTTCTTCCGCCCTTTAATGGAGGGATACTACTCGTAGTGGCCTAGAATGGGGTGGGGAGCTCACCGCCCTCTGTCGCCCATGCTTCGAGGTGAGGCGGTCTATGTCGGAGGCCGACGGGGGCGCTGATGTCGAATCCTCCTGCTGCACCCCGGCTACGCCCGGCCCCGTGTTTGCGTTCGACTTTGGTGTTGGCGTTGAGTGACTGACTGCAGCTCGCGTGTGCTCGTCTGCGTGCCTTTGTCGCGTGGTCACCGTAATTACCCTTGTCTCGCGGGTTTCTTGTTCGATTAAAGTGCAACACTCTAAAAAAAAGCCCGTGCGTCTAAAAAAACGCAGTCTGAGTTGTGACATTAAGCAATGCAAGCGTGACGTTTTGCATTGCTTAATGTCACAACTCAGACCGCGTTTTTTGATCTAAACATATGTTTCGGCATCGTCATTAGCTGAGCTGCCTCCGTAAGTTGAGGTGATTGGCTCTCCGAGTGCTGTGCGGGAAAGCAGACGCATGGCCATTTTTTTAGAGTGAAGAATGTTTAGTTGCCGGCAAAACTGATTTTTTGCATTTTGCTGTAGAATAGGATGCGTTCACGTGAAGGACGCGCCAAAGGTGTCATCGTTCGGTGGTACCCGAAGACGAGGAGCGGCGAAAACTGTGAGATAATAACTTGCAATTGAGCGGACGAGGCCTTGGAATGAAACTTCTGCTATGTGCGAATTACATCTTGAACCGCGGTACGTCATTAGAGATTACGCGCACGTCATCAACGGCGAGGGGTTGCGCGTTTGTTAACACAGAGGTTCGGACGAGTTGGTTGCTCGTGATGTACAGTGGAAACAGTGCACCGGGAAAACAGTCACTCGAGTCAGCATACACACAAAAGAAAGAGACACTTACGCAGCGCTGACTGACAACTCTCGGTATATTTACACTTTCTCCTCCTGTTCTATTTGTACTATAGGCAAGGCCAGGGAGAATAGCTGGTCTTTTTTCTTTTCTTTCGATATGGAGCTAAATTTAAAGTGAACAAACTTCGCAGCTTGTGCAAGAAAGTAAATACTCCACCAATTACAACTCTCGGCTCCGAAAAGAAGCATAAGAACACCTTTGTCCCTTGTACAGAAAAGGTGGTGTACTCCTTTTTTTTTTTTTTTTTTGTCTTGTGGAAAACACTACATAGGTCGGACCGGAAGGTGTCTTAACGATCGCCTTCGTGAGCAGAAGAGCACATTCACCAAGAAAAACTCCGGTCATTTAGGCATTCACTGTCGAGACTGTACCTGCTCAGTGCTTCTGAGTAACTGCGCCGTGCTTGGCAAGCACCACAACCAGCTCACAAGAGAAATTATCGAGGCAGAGAGCATTGCAAGACATAACGGCAAATGCGTTAGTATTCCGTCTTTAACCTTGTCACAAAAAGAATTAGACTCTCTAGCCTAACATTCATTTCAATTCAGTTCGCTTTAAATTTAGCTCCATATCGAAAGAAAAGTAAAAAGACCCGTTATTCTCCCTGGCCTTGCCTATAGTACAAATAAAAGAGGAGGAGAAAGTGTGAATATACCGAGAGTTGTCAGTCAGCGCTGCGTAAGTGTCTTTCTTTTGTGTGTATGTTGACTCGATTGACTGTTTTCCGGGTGCGTTGTCGGAAAGGTCAGAAAATAGGCGTGACTACATAAATGAGGAAATACTAAATATATACGTTTAAATAAGCGTTTGACTACCAAAGTTTAAACTAGAGCAAAGCTTCTAAAAATGTAAGATGGATGAATACATATACGTACTTTATTTTTAAGTGCAATATGTTGCTAATTATGGCATTACAAAATAACTTTACCCAGAGAACTCACCGGGCATAAATCAAAGCGCGTGTGAACTGTGGCATATTAACACAGGGCAGGCTGAAGAATTCTAATGACAATGCTACTTCTGGTAAAGACAGTATTCGAGAGCTATGAGACAGATTATAGTTAAACCGACATGACACAGGCAACTGTGAATACATAGAAATGCTGCTGATGATGACAATGCACAACAAATACTATAGCAAAAAAAACGCGTATTGATGCAAACATTTTTTTACTATTATTATTATATATTTATTTGTTTTTGAAGTACGCCTCTTTGGGTAAAGGCGAAGGCAACAAGACTTTGCGTCTACTCGCTATCGTTCCAATCGGAGCTCGGTGCGTTGACGTCACGGCGCACTCTCACTTCCTCCTTTCCCGCAATCTCTGTCCGTATGGCTTTTTCTTTTTTTTTGGTTTCTCCGTAACGGGTGGGCGCCCTTCCCTGGAACGTGAAAATTTGACAACGTAGATTTGCTTACAACCTTCTACACTCCTCCGACTTTCTATACCCCGAACCAAATGTTCGTAAATGACGCGCGTTGCGTTAGTGAGGTCGACTTGTGTTTGACCCGCAATACCGGGTCGCATCTGGCGTCTTCCTCCCGATAACGCTGCTGACGTCGATGACATTGCAAGCTGTGCGAGCGATCATCATATTTCTTCGGCCACGCTCGTCAACCACTCAGCTCTTAATACTGCGACGTGTTTCCCCTTTGTTGCAGTTGCTGAACGACCTGGCCCGGAACTTTGTCTTCAGCCAAGGGACTTCGAAAAAGGCCAACTCCGTCTTTTACACGGGTGAGTGATGGACGTCTAAAACGAGAATTAAACGGAAACACGTATATCACTCAGCTCAGCTGGAAGGGCGCGCTTGCCTCTTGTAACTCATCGTGAGAGTTGTCATTGGTAATCTCTTTGTTGAGCCTGTTTCGTTACTTTCTGCGCCCCGGATGCATGGGCTGTGTCTCGGCATCTCCGCGCAGTTACCGCCTACAGACATCCATCGTCGAATACGAGCTCGAAATTGTGGAATAAGAGGGCATCGGCAGCTCTCCAGTTCCTACACGTTTACAAGAGGCCGCACTTCGAGATCTAGTCTGGCCACCGCGGATGGAAAACGCTTTGTTTGGAGCGATAAACTGGCAGCTGAAAGGGACCCCCGATAGGCCGCCGCCATGTTGCACATTTCTGACCTCTAGACACATGACCTTATAGCTTTTTGCGTCTAGATTTTAACGAAGTACCGCGCACAAATAATTGCTTATTGATCTTTAATAGCAGTACCGACGAGATGAGTTATGATTCCTTTGTTTTAAGTCCGAACTGTGCTTTTGCGACAAAAACCCGAGCAGCTTCGCAATGCCTCCGGTAGATGCCGTCAGCCGCGGTGCTGTATTTTGAGTTTTTATCGGAGCAAGACGCTGATCTCTTGGGCTAACAGTGTTGCAAAAATAGTTTATCATGTTTGTTTACAGCGGTCGCTATACAAATTTCGGTTCAGTTTGGCGTAAAAGCCGCAGGATTTGGTACGGTCACGTGTCTTGTGGTCAAAATTGTACAACATGGCGGCGGCCAATTGGGGGTCGCTTTTGCCTGGTGAGCGGGATACCAGTTTATCGCTCTAGCCGCTCTACCTCGTTGCTAGAGACGGCCAAAAAACGACGAGCGCCGTGACGGTGCATTTTTGGCGCTGCTTGATTGGCCCCATCGAATGGTAGCGTCGCCTGCGATAGGACTTAAAGTGAAACAAAAATATAGCATGTGGTATATATATATATATATATATATAAACAACAACAAAAACATCCAGGAAAACTATAAGTTTGTTTGATAAGCGACTGGCGCGATCTCGTGTGACCAGGGTGACCGTCTGCGACTTTGGGTATTGCCGTATTCTTGTTTATACCCTCTCGCGCGATTGTTTCTCATCGAAAGAACCGTTATCTGAACGGCGTACATAAAACCGCATAATGAAAAGAACAAAGTTATCAGTCGACATGGCTCTTGACGCTCCCCGGGTTTAACGGGGACCGGCATAACCGCGGATGAGACCGCCCAGCTCTGGCTGCTTTCGAGTGTCCAACATTTTTTTTTAATGGGAAATTAATAAATTTGTTCAGGTAACGGAATAGCCTAAAAATGGTACTTGTGATCTGGAGGTACTGGGATGGTAGTTGGTCAATTTTCCGGTGATATGTCTCATGGCGACCGACGTTGTCAGTGACGAGCGACGTGCATAGTGCAAGTTAACTCTATTTGTAACTGAGAGGTACAGTCATTGGCAGCCGATCGGTTAACCTTGCACCATCAAGGTACACTATGGGGATCGACATTGTCGAGAACGAACCAACGTGCAAGGTGCAAGCGGACTCCAACCGCGGGGATGCGAGCATTTGAGACCAATTGTAAGCAGTTGAAAAAGCCTCGGTTGTCGACTTACCTGTCGATTTTAGCTCTCCTTCTGCAACTCCTGTCGATTCTGTCGTTATCGAAAACCACGAGCTGTTCGGTTGCTTTTTAATGTATAATTAGCTGTTAGGTTGTTTTTTTTTTTTTTATATATAGCTTAAATGTTTTTAAAAAGAAAAAGGTGTCTATGTGAAAAAAAAAGAGGGGTGCTTTATCTTCTCTGTGATAAACCGGAGGGGTACTAGTTGTGAGATCATTTTTACTTTATGCTTGTTACATTTTAATTATTTCTGTGTGGGTTTTCTTTAAAATTCAATGGCTGTTCATTGTGTGTGTGTGTTTCGCCGTTGGGGGAATTAGAGCTTGAAATGGGATTTCTTGCCGTGAACGGCAGTCAGACCCTTATGATGGCCAAAGTAGCTGACGAACGTCACTACGGGAAGCTTTTCTACATAGCGCGAAGGTTTAAAGAGGCACTGACAGGGTATTTATGCTCGCCAAGGTTTTTATTGGTACATGACATATGAGAGCCCGACTACCCGGAACACAATTTGCGACTCGAAATTCGCTTTCTTTCCGCCCGAAAACCGCCGATCGAGAACTGGCCGGATGGAGTCGCGCTAACTCTCTTCTCACGCACACCAAATATAATCAATGTCGTATACATCGAAGGCACACACTCAATATTAAAAATAGCAAAAATATGCCTATTATTGTGACTTCTAAAAAACTCCGAAGTCGTTGATTGAAAAAAGAAAAACAAATGTTGTACAGATGATTGGAAGCACTCTTTAATTTATGCGTAATTCTCAAAATGGCGTCGTATCGCGGGAGTCGCGGGCTGGACACTGGACGGCTGAACGAAGCGGACTAAACGATGGTGGGGGGGACAACGAGGGTGGGAGCTCTACTTCAGAACTGTTGTTCCCAGTACCGGGGAATCTGTCTAGCTTCGAAAGAGAAATGGTTGCCGACAAAAACAATTAGTATTTATATCGTACGGCACGTCCGACCAACAAGCTGATTCACACCAAGACGTCGCCGAGTCGTCGCCCAGTCTTTTGGTTGAAGACATCGCTCGTCTTACGAACACGAACTTGTAGGAGCTTGAAAAACGCGCAAACGTCAAGTGCGAAGTACTTTCGTGTTTTTCATGCCACGTGCGCGTTTTTCGTCTTCGTCGCACGGCAAAAAAAAAAAGAGGCATACGTTGTGCAGTTACGTGACTTTGGGCAAGTCTCTCTACATTTATTTTTCCTCCCCAGTTCAGTATCGGCTTCGACCAGTTGCGTTTTCTTTACTTTGATAAAAATATGCGTGACGCTGTAGCAAAATATTGATGGGGTACTCTTCTGACACCTGGCAAAAGATAAGAAACATTCTTGGGGGGTGTCAGTGTCCCTTTAATCCATGATTCCCGCACCAAATTTACGCGGGAGACACTACTGTTAAATATAGCTGGGAAATTAAGTGTTACTTTTGCGTTCAATGTTTATAGCATTTTGTTTCTTTTATGAAAGCCTATACTCGGCGTCAACCACCTTGTTCTACGTTGTGAAGGCTAGCGTTACCTTCCACAGTGCTGCAGTCTGGCGCTACGAGAGGACGTGCACGCGACTTTCTCTTCCATTCGCAGGCGCTCGCGCAGCCAGCTTTGACAGCGGTGGTGCACCGTGGGAGCTACACTAGCCCTGACGACGTATCACGTCATAGCTAACGGCGCTATGCATTTTTTCTTTTTTATAAAGAGAGGTTGAATTTTTTTTGGCACTACTCGAGTTGTCTCGCTAATGTCTGCAAAAAAAAAAAAAAAGCAACGATTACAAGAGGAAAATTACAGAAGGAAGAGTGGAACGCGATAGCTAAACATATAAATCTGGGCTCGTTCCCTAGCCGTGCAAGCGTGGGTTCGCATCCCGCCTCCGTCTACAATTTTTTTCTTTAAGGCAAATGAATCACTTTATGAAGTGAAATCATTTCAGACATGCGGCGACCTTTACTTCGCGTTACAAGTCACGTTTTAATCACTTTCATTCCACGCGTGACGTTGCATTTCACGTGAGCGTTGTTTGAAATACCCACGCAAGGTCATGTGGCTGTGACGTCATGACCCCATCGACCAATCAGAAGTTTCTCGTCCCACCGACACGGACGCCGGCTTTTCTACGACACGAGCTCCTAAACGCTATCGCGTTAAAACGGTGCAGAAACAACAACAACGGAAGAGCAAAAACACACCCAAACACGACGCTGTGTCTTCCACTTGTCGTGGTGTCCTCTTTCGCGCTGTTTTATTTATTCTCATCGTGCACCGACTCTCCCAGCTATACACACCTTGCTACAGTTCGAATTTCTTCTTCATTTTTTGTGGTCTTGGCAGACGGAGGACTCCTCCCCAGCGGTCCGGGCTCGTGTCGTAGCGGCGGCGGCGTCGCGATGCCCGGCGGCGTACCGGCCTCGCAGCCCATCTACTACGAGCCCCCGGACGCCGTCGACCTGGACTCGTGCACGTCGGCTGCGCCGGCGGGCCTAGGGTCCCCCCTGCGCGGGGCTGTTCCGGCGCCCGCGGCGTCTGACCGCTGCTGCGTCTCGGCGGCTCCCGGACACGGAGTCCTGGCGTCTCCCTTCAGGACCAAGGCGCCGCCGATCCTGGCAGCGCCGCCCTACGGCTCCGGGACCGCGACCACGGAGGTACGTGAAACGTCGGAGACAATCCGATGCCATGCGAGGCGCTTAGTCACGCGACATGTTCGCTGCTCAGGATTGGCTATGGGATCGCTCGTTGCTTCCGCCGGGTGCCGTCGTGAGGTGAAACGAAGCATACACGGCGGGCAAGTCCTCTCAAACGCGTCTTTGGCGCATGGGAACGCTACGCGGAGAGAAAGTCGTCTGCTCCTAGCGCAAGAGGCGCGGTGACGTCAGAACGACGCCGAGCTCTGATTGGCTCTGAGGACTACCCACTATTTTTTTATTTTTTTTGAATCAGCCAATAAGAGCTTTGCGTTCTGACATCAACGCAACCGCTGCAAAGAAGCAGACGAACTTGGGCTCCACATAAAAGGGGCACACCTATCGAAGGTGAACATTAAAGGGAGGAAGTGGCCGAGTGGGCTAACGCGTCTCAGCTCGGAGCGTGGAGCGAAAGCTTGCGCTGGGAACCTCCTGGGTTCGATCCCCGCCGCCCCCGCCCGTTTCGATCTGGATGAGTTTCGTACCGGCACGTGTTCGTGTGATGACTACTGCGTGATGCACGTTAAAAACCCCAGGTTAGCGGTTGTACCGCACTGGCCAAATTTCTCATCTACAGCTAAGAGACCGATTACCCGTTGAGGCGCATCTCCATCAAGGCTGTATAAACATAAAGAGCAAGCCAATTTTTTTTTTTTTTTTTGAAGGTGAACATTAAGCGCCGTTCACACGCTCGCAGCCGAGTACGACCGGGAGAGACAAGAATGGTTTTTAAGCCTCTTGTGACGGCGGAGGGTTTGGATGCGCTGCAGCGGAACAGGTTGTACGCCGTCGCAAGAGGCTGAAAGAACGGTCTTGTCCCTCTCGGTCGTACTCGGTCGCAAGCATATGAATGCCACTTAAAGGACGACTAGAGAACGCGCGATGACGAGGCAGCCAAGCTTGCGCCATCATCGGGCGAAACTCCCGGCGCGTTTTTAAAATTGAATTGGAAATGTTGCGGCTGTTTGGGAGAGAAAAGAAGCGTGGTCTTTCTCAGATCGAGCGTAAATGACGCATCGCCGAACGCTCTGTCTCCGACAAAACGCTGTTCGGTCAGACCAGAAGCCAAAGAGCTCGCCATCAACTCATTCGAAGCCATCAGTCATTTTCCAGATTTTTACCTGAGAAAATGGCAGTCAACCGAGCCTGCGGCTCGAATACATCGAGATAAATGGCGTCTAATTCCGCTGCAACTGGCTCCATTTTCTCATTTAAGTCTTCCTTCTGCAGCGGTTGGAACCGTCTGGTTCCAACCGCCGCAGAATGAGCGTTTGGCAATGCGTATTTTATTTTTGTAATAATAGAAGACCACTTTTATATTTTTTTTTTTTTTTACTTTTTTAATTTTTTTTTAACAACGCGTGGCGTGCTATATCTTTTTTTGTCTCACTTTTTCTTTCTTTTTCGCTTCAAAATCTTATACTCCACGTTACACGTCACGCACCGAGCTCAAGTTCCCCCCGCCCACGCGTCATCTCTCGCAGGTGTGCGACGGCAACTGCGGCAACATCATGTGCAGCGTGCGGGCGTCCGCGGACAGTCCGCCGTCAGAGCCGCCGACTACCACCATGCTCCCGCCCGTCGCTTTCGACAAAGCGGTCGACGGCGACGACGGCACGACCACCACCGTGGCCGGCGAAGACGACGACGGCGAACCGGGGGCCGACGTGAACGACGCCGCGTCGCGGACCGTTCCCGACGTTGCGCACGACAGCGAACTCAAGCGTGCCGCGCTGGCGGCGGCCGCCGCCAGCGCCGCGGTGGGTTCTGACAACGTCCGCGCGCCGACTCCCGGCGCCACCGGCGTTACCGGGAGCGTCGGAGCGGGCGCTGCTACGGGCACGGCGGCGGGCGAGTCGTCTGCCAACGTCAGGAGCGTCACGATGCTCGGCAAGCTGCGCGGCATAACGGTGAGTTCCTTCCACTCTTCGCGACCGCTGTGCTGTGTGCAAAGGGTAGTCGTCTAGCGCTGTGCGTTAGTGCGGGGCACCTCTCCGAGGCTCCCTCTGGTCTTTATTTGGGGGATATTGGAGTGTTCTGCGGTTATCCGCTACTCACGTATGCGGGACACACCTTTACGCGTAGCACCCGTTTACGCGTAACAGCTATGTACATGGAACAGCCGTTTACATCGAGCAAAAGTGAAGTAAAAACAAGTACCACTTTTAATTTTTTTTTTTTTTAATTTCACTAGGGGATTCTCGCATGTGGAAAAGAAAAAACAACAACAACAACGTCTTAATACATAAGGAACGATGACGTGAGCAGGTACATCGAGTACACAATCGAAATGAAAAACAAATAACAGTCAACAAATTATTCGAGAGCGCGGCCAACATTTCCACATATTCCTGGTGGACTCTCTCTCCAGGGAACTCCCCTAGTGACAGGTCACAAAAGATCGGATTGTTTAAGTTGGTTGTAATTTTACGTAACTTTTACTTAGTATGCGAATGTGCAGGCGAGCTGGTGTAAGTTATACATGATGATTGAAAACCTGAGACTGTGGTTTGAAAAACAGAAAAACGTGAAGTAGAAAGACGTTGTCTGTCCCTTTTTCTTTCTACTTCACGTTTTTTGATTTTCAAACCACAGTATCAGGTATTCTATCATCATGTGTTTTGAGTCCGCTACTTTGTAAACACAAAATTCGATTAGCTTTCTTTTTTTTTTCCCCTTTAATTCTCTATTGCTAATTTGTTCCTTGTATACTATTTTCCAATCAACTGCGATCCTGTGTGCACCTCTTGCAAGTGTGGTCCCTCGCAGGTGCCTCTTTCTTAAGTAGCTTTGTATACAGCCGGTCCTACGTAGTGTCGCAGTTGGTGCTGCTTGCCTTTGGGATGTGAGAGCGCCGCGCGTGCCATCCCTAGTGCGCCTGCGCCAACATATGTAGGAGAGCCCGACCCAGCGTTAGAAGGTGGCTCCTTGCAGTCATCTCGTTCCTCGAGACATGCTGAACCGACAAGTTTCTGAATCCTGTCTGCGCGCACGTTTTGTATGGAGGGCGGTTTTTATGACACGAGTTCTCGTTACCCCTAGCACCGTCTCCACCCAAATTTTTTTCTAGAATCACGCGGGCTTGCTATGCCGACCTAATGGCGGGATTTTACAAATTTGTTTCTTGTCTTTTTTTTTTTTTTTTTTTATTCTCTTTCGTGTGGGTTCATCATCGACCGCCTGTGGGGACTGAGCTAATCCAACACAGAGAACCGAGGAGCATACAAACGATCTTGCAAAGCTTACGAGTCATCGAGACAGTTGTTCTTTTGCACACTTTCTTTTTTCGGGCATCCATTAAGTCCAAAAGAACGAGATCTTATCTGTCTGCTTTCGTATCTTGAGTGCGCCGTAGTTGCCCCCTTCGTTAAAATGCCGCACCTATTCTCAAATTTAAGCCATCTATATTTGTCGATTTTTTTTTCTTTTTATTTTTTAGAGTTGCGATGTAGGCGAGTTGGTTCATGGTAATCGAAAATGAACAACGCGCAAAAAAAGAAAAAAAGAGGGAAGATGCGAACGACACAAGTGTTGGACTAACAACTAAACATTGACTGAAAGAAACACCAACGAAGTAAGCCGCACTATCGCTTCAATGCGTGTCAGGATAAGCTTCTTTTTTTTTTTTTTTTTTTTTTTTGTCTAGGAAAATCGATATTTGGCTGACACATGCATCTTGTCCCTCTTTTGTTTATTGCATACACTTCCAATAAGTCTGGTGGTTTTATCTGCACCACTCCCGATGATGGTGATGTTGAACTGTAGAAGAATCTTTCGTTAATAAGGAGTTTTAGTAGTTCGTTCTGATACCTCGGATAACGATACGGTGCGTGCTCAAAGGCGTCGGCGGATTATCGGGTATCGTATCGGAACGATTCGCTAAAACTCCCATTATGCTCGGCAGAACCAGTACACCGTTCTGCGTTTACGCGAACCCAGCTTAGAGTGAATAGAAGAGAGAGAGAGGGGAAGGCCGACTGGGTCTTGTACAAACGGCTTCTTTTTTCTTCTTTGTCGGCGAGTGATGTTGACGTAGTTGGCGTCTTTGTTGCCGCGATGGCACAGGGTTGCTTCGCGGCGCATACGTTTCGCGTCTCTCCCTTTCTGTTTCATTTGGGAAGTCGTCGAAGCGTGGCGACTCGGCGAAGGGTACCGCGCAACCCACGCCGGCGTGTGCTGCTGCAGCGCTCGACGGGCGCCTTTTATTCCGCCTCTAGTCTGGAACGGAAAACGGACGGAAGAGAGAAAGCGCGCTCCGCCGGTTGCAAGGCCGCACCTTTCGCGCGAAATCCCATCTTGTGGATAGGTAGCTGTGCATCTGGCGTCACAGCTCCGGTTAGGAAGCTCTGCCGCGCGATGGTTCCCTAGACTTCCGATGTTGCGGGCCGTTTGGGTGCCTCGACGTGCATATTTGGCCTACAGTCTCCAACAACGCGAAATGCCCATTGGACGAGGCAGTTCGAGGCGGCTGGGCTGAAATCAACGGGCCAACATTGCTCGACGCGAGGAAATAAATTCACGTTAGTTCGATGCTCTAAGTATTAAGTACCCCTGGCCAAAGCGTGCTTAGCAGCTCCGCCACATAAACTGCATCGGCGAAGGGTTTTTCATATTGTGGGAGACTGTACTTACGTGCCGCGATTTCTTTCGGTTTCACACTAAAGCCTGTAAACAAAAAAAAAAAAAAAAAGAGAAACGAAAGATTTGCGTACGATACAACTTGAAAAGTAATCCGTATTCACGAAAAAACGAAAATACGTCCGTACCTTCACGAACTTTGTAGCTGAGTTGTCGTAGCGTTAGACGATCTTCGTGATGCCAGGGCTTCTGGCGTATGTCAGTTGTCTGTACTGCGCGACAGAACGATCGAATATATGGAATATCTTTAATGGTTCAAAGTTAATGCCCTCTTCGCATTCGTTTTTTATTTTTTATTTATGCTTTGGGCTTTGTTGTCAGTTCCGGTCATACGACTTTCATTATCGCTGTCGCACTCGTTTACGGAAAAACAACAAGTGACCGTAGTCCGGGGGCCGATTATGGGGGGATCCGAAGGTAAGCATATTCACCACAGTATTCGACTCCGACAAGGTCCCAAAAACGACGGCAGTGAGATGACCTACGTATGCGTATAACCCATTTTCAATGCCGTCATTGCCGTAACATGTTTTGTTCCTTTCTTATTTAAGAAAAAACTATTTTCATTATTTAGAAGAAAAAAAATATTCCACTTCTTTTATTTTTTTTATGTTTTGGTTGCGCTTAAAGCTTCGGAAATGTTGGTTGTGGAACACTGGATTTTTTGCGGCACGGGTGTTAGCGACGGAGACAATGGAAGGAGAGTTCATGGCTCCCGCTGTTTGTATCTCGCTGCTCTGCCGGTGGAGGGGAAAACTGTGGCGGAGAGGAAAGCGCCCGGAAGATTGGGATCGGCCTGTGTGACGGCGAGGAGGGAGCCGAGTTTGCGCGCTTCCGTTCGAAAAACTTTCCCCTTGGAACGGAGGAAGGGAAGGCTCTTCTGGGGAACCTTTACTGCGAAAGTCGCGCTTTCCTTTTCGAACGAGAAGACATGGGAGGTGGCTTTGCGTCGTGTGGACGACCCCCGAAGCTGTTTTGGGTCGTTTATCGAGCATTTTTGTGAACGATCTGAAGGGGGTGGCACAGGATTCATAGGATCGAGCGTTAATAATAATAATAGTAATAATAATAATAATAATAATAATAATAATAATCACAAAAACAATTAGTTACCTTCAAAGCATGAGCTTGATCTCTACCGCCCTCCTCCTGCCCACGCTACCATCATATGCGCCAGCGCGCTCTCTCAAGACGCGCGTAACAAGGGTGTATATAGTGCTCGGCTGAGACTCGTGTTGAAGCTGTGGGGACACGACTTCCAGTCGAACGCGGACACATATTCGTGTCCAATCAATTTTCGTACGACACTTTTCCCTGACAGGAAGTACGTTACAGGAAACTGCCAGTAACCAGCCATATAACACATCCTGTGTAAAAAAAATAAATTAATAATAATAATAATTTTTGATTTCGTTTAATATTTTTTTTTTTTCTTTCAAACAAAAGCGTTTAGCCAATACGCTAAAACGGCGATTTGGGCTAGTGGGTTCATTATCACGTTCAAAGCGCCGAAACCAGACACACGGAGAATAAGTTTTTGACCCTTGCCTTGTGCGGTTTCTGCGCTTTGAACGCGAGAGTCAGTACACAATCCCCGGAGGTATAGAGAGGAGCGCAGAGACAATTAAGCCTCGCTTTAATAGCTTTTTTTAATGGCTCGGAGCGTGATTAGAGGTAATGGTGTACGAGCTAAAGACCCCAATGGAATGTTGTTTTCAAAAGAAGAGAGCTGCAGGGATTGACATAGAGTGAAGATTTTTATTATTATTGTTATTATTTCGTCGAGTGGGAGGAACGCCGCCATTCCTTCCACGCAGTCACGTGTCACTTTTCAGTTTTGGCGGTGACTCCCGTGAATTCGTGGAAATGTTTCCAGGTGTTTTTCGACCACACTGACGAAATAAGGAATGTCGTGCAGCTGTTTTCTTTATTTTTTTGTCGGAGGGGCATATTTGCACTGCTGTGCTCACCTTCTATTGTGCGTGAAGTCTCTGGAGTCTTGTATCCGCGGTGGACCAGAAGACGAAACTCTTTGGTCACACCTATTCCAAAGCTCTTGAATAGACCTATTGCTTAATTGCCCAAGCATCAGGGACAATGCTGGCAATGTAGGTCTACGCGCCGCAGCGCTCGCCTTCCCCGTATAAAAGATTCGAAGCAAATTACGATGGATTAGTGGATTAAGAAGGGTTAGGGGGTAGACCTAAATCTAACAGCTTTTGTCTCCACTGCACTCGTCCAACGCGTTAGAACGCGAAACACCGGCGTGTGG